AATTAAATTTTGAATTTTGAGATTATTTTAATTAAAACTATCTCCAAAAGTTATCTAGATTACACCTTAATGTAGATATAAAACACTTAAAAAATTTGAATACTGGTATTTGAGAGAAAAAAAAGCTGTGGTCACTTGTTTTTACACGTATTCATAAAATGGTTCAGTTCCGTAAAATGTTATTTGCTCGAAGTATGATCATGTGTTTTAAAAGATGTTGAAAATGTTAAAAATGCTAATTAAATTTTTAAAAATGCACATTGAGTAAACCCACCCTTTTCTTAAAACATGTGAAGTTACTTGTCAGTATTTATAGTTGAAAAAATCCATATCTATTTTAGTTAAATTTTGCCTCGGGTTATTTTTAACCTCCTCTCTTTAAATACTAGTAGTTTGGTAGCAGTCGATCACCTACTTGGCACAATGGTTGACCTCATGAAATTCTTTCAAATTCTTTCTTTTGAATTCGATATGCAGTGTTACCTTGGTTAAATAAACATTCTGTAAATTCAAGAAACGATATTCTTCCTATAATTTTGATCTGGTTCCAATGAACTTGTTGCACAAAAACATTATAAATTTATAATGGTTTATCGAATATTACCATATGGGTGAATTCAAAAGAAAATGACCACCAAACTGAATTTTTTTGGCAAAATTCAACTACTTATAACATATTTTTCACTTATATCATCATATTGCATATGCATTCTAGTTTAAAATCCTGAAGTGGCAATAGAATAGACAATTGGATTAAAAAGTTTCAGAATTTTTATTAGTAAAATTTCTTCTGAAAAAAGAAAATATCATTACACCTTAAAAGACTTTCTAAAATACATAATCACAAGAAATTATAGTTTTTTTATGCTTCAAAATGGTAAATGGGGTATAAATGATTAAATCTAGACCTTGAATGAGTATCTTCTCTTGTACATGTGACAAAATATTGGCTTTTTGATTATTATTTTACATTATTTTTTCAGTTCTGCTTTGAAAAGTTTTAATATGAAAAAAATATGAAGCAATAAAATTCCCCCAAATTCACTTTTTTGTCTGTTCAAGTCAATTCTTTAAATCTAAGCCAAAAAAAAAATTGTTATATATGAGTTCTCTTACAAAAAATACTAGATTTTGAAGTGACCCTATGTTACATTATTGTGTTGCACTCCTGACATCTGATATGTATTTTATTTAACATTGTTTTAAAAATTATGACACACAATAACCCATTCTTACTTTGTAAATCAATTTGTTGTGTTGATATTTTTCATCGTTTACAGCAGGTTTTTCATATTTTGAAGACCTTAAAACATGATTATTTGCAAAGTGTAATATATATAAATTGTATTTAAAATATATGTGAAATGATGAAAACTATTCCCTGAATTGACTGTAAAATTTCTGTAATTTGTTGATAGACATAGTGTTTTGAACATCAAATAGTATCAAGCATTTTTTTCAACTTATTTTTTAGTAAAGATAGTTAAAAAGCATCGGTAATTATGAAGCAGTTTTGTTGCACTCCTGACTGCAGTAAAGTTTAAAATTAAAACCATAGAACACAAAAATTCATAAAGTATTGGCAACATCAAGTGGTAATGAAATTATGCAAAACTTATAGTCCAATACTTCATAATTAAAACAGATGAAAGTATTTAAAATTCGCATTTATCTGGAATTATACCCTATTTTATGCCAAAAAACTAGCTTAAATGTATATTTAGAAGATAAAATATATTTTAAAGCATATTTTCCTTTAGAAGACAAACACAGTAACCCACCAGAAAAATTCTACTCTTCATTTTTTCTTTATTTTTATTCTTATTGGATGATTTATAATTCTAAAATATTTGTTGCACTCCTGACCAAAAGCATTGGGACCTTTAAAGTAGAACTGTGAAGTGAAAATTACATAAGAACTTGTTCTGTTGTTTCAGTGAAGTTGAGGAGGAATTACTTGAATTTTATGACAATATTTTTAACGTTCATTAAAAAAATCACAAAAAGATAAAAACACATCTGAATTGATAAAATTGAAAAAGGAAGGATTTTAATAATAAAACTGTCAATAATTTAGCATTAAATTATACAAAAAGATCATTATTAATTAATGAATACTTCTAAGCATGAATAGAAGTCTTTTCGTCACACAACTTGAATCTTTAAAAAAAATGTGTTGCACTCCTGACCATAGAAATATGGATCCGAAGCACAGACAGATCCTGTAATTGATAAATCTGTTTGGTAAAAATGTTCTTTGTGTCTTTATTTTCCAAAATAAAAATCAGAAAATCATCTAATGATGATAGTTTTTTCATGCTTGGGGGCAAACATCAAATGTTGCACTCCTGACATTTTGGGTATGCACATATACTTGACTCTCATTAATGCTGCTTGTGATTTATATAACATTTTTAAGTTTTAAAATGTATATCAGTTATTATTTTACACTTCCAAAATTCTTTTTTGTCTTAATTTTCTATCAGAATTTTACAATTAATGTTTTTTTGGCAACACTACATTTTTTTCTGTTGCACTCCTGACATGGTATAACATCTTTTTAAACATCAGCCATGACCACAACTTGATTAAACAAAAGTTTCAACAGTCCACATTTAAAGCTCAATACTTTGAATATTACCAGGAAAGTCTTTATTTTCAACATGAAGCATTATTTTTTATTTCACGGATCTCCAAAAAATATTGAAATTTCAAAATGTCACAAAAAGGTGTTGCACTCCTGACGATTTTAGCATCATTTTTGGGCATAACTTTTTTGTTAATTGAGATATCAACGTGATATTTGGCAGGTATTTAGACACTATCTAAAGACATATGCTGAGACATAGAAATCTATTTTCATTGCCTGTATTTTTAGTGTGGGTTGATAAATATGCGTTTGGTCATTTTTTTTTTTAATTCACCCATATACATGTAATTATATATGGTTTATCAAACGGTTTCTTTTTTTTTATAAATTAGATTCCACGCGATGAATGATCAAAATGAAATGATCTATGATTTTTTTTCATTTCCTATATTTCCATAAAACTGTGTAGGTGTAGAAAAATAATTTTGTATAATCGAAATCGATTTTTTTACTTACACCTCTTTCTCCTACACTATCATATATTTATTCCAAATGAGCTATTGAGTTAAATGAGCTTTCGATTTATAATTGCTTTGAGACACTGAAATTTACAATGTACGTAAAAGACACCACATAGTCTGATACATCCGTTTCAAGTTTGGATGTTTTCCTAGAAAAATACATTGATGGCAAATAACATCTGAACTTTTTGAAAAACATGTGATAACTTCACCTTTTCTCTCATCAACTTCCCTTACGTATGTAAGAAAATACCACCATCACCTAGCTGCATATGGTGTTTGTGTTTCCCAGGTCACTCGATACGCAAGAGCATGTTCTAAATACGATTAACTTCTAAACCGAGGCAGGCTACTGTCAAGTATGGTGACAAATCATGCATACTGAAGTCAACATTTCGTAAATTCTCTGTGTATGATCGATACAATGGGACATGGCGTTAGATAGAATTTTGACTGATGTATTTAATATTTTATTAATTTTCAAACTGAATTGTTTACGGATTACTCACCGTCACGGTAGCTCAGTCGGTAGAGCGCTAGCTCCTTGATCGGAAGATCGTGTGTTCGAATCACGGCCGCTACTGACCTAGCTTGATAAAAAATAGGTAGCAACTGTTCCTTCGCCAAACGCTCGGCACTTTAAGGCGAAAGTTGCCGGTATTTCGGATGAGACCTTAAAAACCGAGGTCACGGTAGGCGTAGGTACGATAAAGAACCCTCACTGCTCGATGGCCGTGAGTGCCGAATATAAGTCTAAATTTGAAGCCTTCACCGGTATATGGTGACGTATCTATATGAGTGTAAAATTATCGAACGGGACGTAAAACAAAAATCAATCAATCAATCTACGCATTACTCTGGGAATCTTGAGTGGTCAATATGGCAAGCTTACTCCTCCATGAAACATCTTTAATGCTTTCGGGGGTCCATATTTGCTCTGTTTTCATTCGTATTAAATTTTTGGATTTTTCAGCATGATTACTGTTTGTTCTTCACGTTATATGTATCATTCATATATTGGATGTCTCCATTTGTATGAAAAAACAAACTCTAAAGTGTAGAAATGTCATCCTAGAGGCAGATCAATTTATTCTTTATAAAACTTTTCCATACATTTACAAACTGGCAAGGTTGTAGGAATTCGGTATCCACACAAGACAATTTTAACAGAACGTACCTAAATTATGAATCTTAGGAAAATTCTGCGATGCTAATCCCTGCTACTTTGACTTTGTCCGTATAATCTTGGGATAGGGACACATTCCATGATCATGCATAATTTTAATTTTCTTAACTAGCCTCAAATGTTGTTTACCTTGTATTCATGCTTCATATTCATACACGAAATGACAGAATCATGGGTTTTTACAATTTCTCCCTTTGGAGGGTAAGTTAGGATAATAAAAGAAAAAAATAAGTATTACTAAAGAAGTATTTCAAATATCCTGAATAATTTCTAATCATCTACGAGATAATGATGTTTTTGCTATCATTAACAGTATCAGCCTTGCTCTGTGGCTTTGACACATTGGTGGAATACAACATTTCTGAACAGATCTGCTGTAATGGCACTGTTACAAGGAGAGACAGCTTCAGTAACCCGGACTCCGTACAATGTTGTAAGGGTAGGGTTACTTTAAAAATGTAAATTACATAGCTTTTCCAAACAAATAAACATAGATTTATTTAAGCAACCCTACGTTATTAATCATCGTAAACATTTGCTGTGAAACAAAACCAAAAGAGCTTTTATAATGTTAATTCAGTCTAGCATCAAGGGAATGCGTTAGGTGTGTGTGTGTGTGTGTGTGTGTGTGTGTGTTGATTGTAGTGTAATAAGTCCTTTTGAAAATTTATTTTATCTTTAAATGTAGACACACTGTACAACAATGAAACTGAAATGTGCTGCGGCGGGGCTGTGGGAGTCAAAAACTGGTTGTGTTGCAATGGTGTTCTCCACCGAAACAAAGATCCCGGTAAGTCAATACAATTTATCATCTCAAAACTCATATATAAGAAAACATGAATATGTACAGAATACAAATCAAAATTAAAAAAAAAAATTAGATAACACTCTACTCTGTGGTTTTTTCCCCATCTTTTACCTATTGAGTCATTCAACACAAAAGGCAATAAAATACATGTAATACATGTATAAATGCTTTCAAAACCACATTCAAGATTGATATCCGATTTCAAAATAAAATACATTAAGAAAAAGAAAACAGGTATCAAAATAAAGTTTTCATATCTCAAAATTTGATTAAAAAATCCTTAGGATACATGCAAAACTAAAGTATTTTCCCTGTTGTAATTTTATAGCTCGGGGATAAAGAACAGAGTAAAATTTTAACATAAATGGATAGCATTTAAAATGACCAATTATCATTAATATAATACTTTATAAATATTAATAAGATACCTACGGATGCAATGGAACGAAACTATATCAACTTTCGAAGAACAAAGGTGAAAAATCTGCCAAAAAAGAACCTTCTTGTCAAAGTACGATACTGAAGGGTAAGCTTTATACAGTGTAATATCATTACATGCATTAAATCGTTGATTGCATTATTAAATTATTTGTTGCATTTGGATGTATTATGATTTTGTAGACCCTTTGATATTTCAATTTCACAATTTTGAATATGTACACAAATACAATTGGCTTCAACTTTAATATTTTACAGCTGATAAGTTGGTTTGTGGTTCAGCATTATACAACACTGAGGTAGAAATGTGTTGTGATGGAACTGTGCATAACAAATCCCGTGACGTTCTGTGTTGCAAAGGTAATATTTTGAAAGGGGGGGGTATGCAAACACAAAAGCAAAAAATACATAAAATGATGATGGTAAATAATTTAAGGCTAATGAACAACATTTGCAGATAATTTATACAACAGTACTACTCACATTTGCTGTAACCAGATACTACGTCCCAAATCCAGACTAAATGAAAGGATCAGCTGCTGTGGTTCTGATCCTTATGACCCAGAAAAAAGCTTGTGCTGCAATGGAATCAAACATGAGAAGAGTTCTAGTGAGTTGCATATTTGAAATAAAGCTCTCTCTCTCTCTCTCAAAAATATATTCATAGCTAAGGATTATTTGCATGAGTTTTTTCGCTTCAGATAAATTACAACATTAGAAATGTGTAAAAATAAAATAAAAGTTTTAAATTCATGTAATTGCGGTAGACGTTTCGTCATTTTAAACGGCCCTTAATACATTGAGCCCCGATCTTTCAATTGATGGCATAACTTCATTTCTATTATGAATTCTGTCGAAGGTTTTGCCAGATGTTGGGCAAAATATGAAGTGGAAGAACACTTTTTCAGACTGGATTAAGTAACTTAGAACTAAATTAAAGAATTTCTAAATCGTAGGTGATAAAGGAATTAGAAAGACTACATGAACACTATGTTATGGTTCCAGCAGACAAGGCAATATCGTCTTTGTTTGTCGAGCTCATTATTATATTTCTTCACCTGGAAACTTATAATCACAGTTCACTTTTTAAGGATAAATTATTCAAAATCACATTTCAGTCTTTAATACTTTTGACACTCCAGTCAACGAAGGTGAGTTCGATCTACCCTACCTATTTTGGATTTCTACACATCCTTAAACTCCTTACAAACAAAGATACATTGCCGGGTCTAGCAAGTGCTCCACCAAGCCCCTATCTTTACTCCTCACAAAAATAATAACTGTTGTAAAGGAGAAACTTAAGATGTATTATGCTACAGCATATTCAAGAAGTGAAATATGGAATTTCAAAAGCTCCGAAGAATTTTTAGAAAATTTAATTTCAAAAGTTAGTTACATTAAAATGTATTACTTTTCTACACTTTACAACATTCCTAATGATAAATTTAAAAAAAAAAGCTAGGCTTTTTAATATTATAGACCACTACTTCAATAAACCGGAAATTTTCGTTTCTTGTGATTGGCCATGAACAGAATGATTTTGTTAAAATCACTCTGATTCTACACACAAGTACTCTGAAGTTGATAATAAAAAGATGCTGGAGTTACTCATTGACAACATCTATGTAGGCTTTAGAGACCCGGTGTTCCAAAATATTATTTGAATTCTCCTGAGCACTAATTGTGCTCCATTATTAGCCGAACATTTGAAGAAGAATTTATTCAAAAACGTCTACATGAGAAGAAAACACTTGCTGTGGTCTTCAACTCTAAATACCGATACATCGACGACGTTTTATCAAATAACAATGGTAACTTCCATTCATATGTCGACTCGTTAAATCACAGTGAACTCGAAATAAAAGAAACCACAGAGTCTGTCACATCTGCTTCATTTTTGGATGTTTTACTGATTATAGACAATAAGGACCAAATTATACATTTATGACAAAAGAGATGACATAAGCCTTTTCACAGTCAACTTTCCTTATACATGTATGTGTAGGAATATCCCGCTATCACCTGCATATGCTGTCTCCCAACTTATTCGATAATCAAGAGCACGCCTAAAGGACAATCAATTCCGAAACTGAGGCAGGCTACTAACAGATAAGTTGATGTTACGGGATTTCAATAACATCGTTTAAAGTCAACATTTTGTAATATTTTTTGGTCGTTATAATGACCTTGTTAGCAAATATGACCTATCATTGGGTCTTTTTTTGTCTGACATATTTCAAACCATTGTTAGACCTTTATTTTTATCCTAAATTTTACTACGGAATATTCCGTCTGTGTGATCGATACATAGGGCTCGCTGCGGATGTGGGTGTGACCGGGGATGTTTATTCCTTCGCACCTTACCCCACCTTCGCACCTTATCTCACCTCTGGAATTTCCAGGGGTCCGTGTTTTATACCCTATTCACAGATTTGTATTTTTTGTATTTTGTTTTCTAGATCTATCATTTTTCGTTAGTTTCACCTTTTTCCCTGAGTATGACACTGGTACATTAAGGCGTCATTCTCATATTGACCAGTATAATTGTATGTTTTCTTTACCTGTCTTGTAACCTCTGTATAATTTCAATTGCAGAATTATATGGTTGTTGTGATACAAAGCCGTACCGATTATCTCATGATATGTGTTGCATCTCAAAAGTGCATGGGCAAGCGAAAAAAATGCAATGCTGTGGAACTGAAACCTTCGATAGAGAAAGGCAGTACTGTTATAATGATCACGAAATCTTAGATTTATATGAAGGCAAATGTGGAAATACCAAGTACTCAACATTAGAACACGTGTGCTGTGACCGGAATCTGATTTCGAATAAGAAAGGGCGTAGATGTTGCGGTTCTTCTTTGTTTAACCCCAAAGTCAATGACTGCGATATGAAACACATTGTGCAGAGAGGATTTCTCTGGTGTGAAAGCGGTAAGTAAATAAATATTTAAGAAAACTGATATTGGTTTAAGAATAAAAAAAAATCTGTTGAAAGGGTGGCATTTGAAATTTTCAATGCTTTACATTGTGAATAGACGGGAATACGAGTGTTTACTATATGACTGCTGTGAGGATCATTTGATGAAGAACAGATCGGCATTTTTTTTTGTTACAACTACTTTTTAAAATTTCTTTAAACTGTGTCTCTTTCTGGATGTTATTTTTTAAAAAGGTTTTTTTTCTATTCGATGTTTTAGGTGAATATAACCCAGATACCCACGACTGCTGTGAAGGCCAATTGAAGAAGAAGAATGGGTCATCTTGGCGTTGCTGTGGTGCCAGAATAATAAACTATGATGTATATGGTTGTTGTGGGGCTGGACATCCTTATAACAAAAGAAATGAACAATGTTGCGGAGGTAACCTAGATTAATTGTAAAATGTCATTCACTTTTTTGCACATATCTGCATGGTTCAATTGGTACCAAATTTATATTGTAGGTAATATTATTAAAACAGAGGAGAAATGTTGTGCTAATCAACATATGAATTCAACTCAACTCTGCTGCGGTAAAACTAGATACAGAAACGAAGAAGTAATCATAAAGAAAGAGCCATATCACGATAAATGTTGTCCACATAAATGTGGAGGTATTTCTTATGATTCAGTCAATTCCGTTTGCAGTTGGGAGAACACTGTTATAGAGAAAACGAAAACCTTTAACATTTGTGGGGAAAAGACATATAATCCCGAAGTCGATCTCTGCTGTAACCTAAAAATATTCAAGAAGAAACGACAGAAAGGCATGAAATGTTGTTATCCAAGTTCCACTATTTATCATCCAAAAACACATTTCTGCGAAAATGGTGAAATAAAAAGGTGAGGGTTATAATATTTATACTCATTAACTTATTTAACGATTTAAATTATTAATATGTTAAGATATCCAGATGAAAGAGAAAGGGGAAGTCCTGTTAAACTAAAAAAAATAATCTAGGAACTGGAAAAATATATATATTTTGTATTTTTTTTGCATTTTAGTATATTTTTTTCTGAAAAACTTTGCTAAGTTATGATTTTTGTAATTTAGTTGATTTACTTTCAGCCTATGCCCTGCAAGATGTGAAAAGATAACGTTGAAGAATTTCTGCAAAAAAGAAAATTCAAGTAATTTTTTTCTAAGTTTACCTCTACTATCTGTTAATAATTGAAATTTTCTTTTATGCAGTGACACAGAAACTTTTTTTTCCTCTTGAAAGTTAAAGCTACACTAGATTACCGATTCTTCGCGACACCGAATTTCTGCGAAATAGTTCTTTGGTAATTATAAGCGAGAAAAAAAAATTCACGAATTCTGGTTTTTATTGTATGTAATTTTTAAGAGAACATTTTTAAAGGTCTCTCTCACTAAATTTACAAATATTAAGATCTCGCGAATAAAGTGTTTTACAGCATATGTAATTTGGTATGAGGATTTTGTACCTTTATACATGAATATCCTCATCGATATAGATAATAGATGCTTACTTATATCCATGTATATGTATACCTTCATAATTCTTTTTTGTTATTTTTGCACTTCAAATGTATAGTTCCTACAATGCTCTCTCTCTCTCTTTTAAATTACTTTCTTAACTGGATAAGTGAACGTTATTAAAAAAAAATTAGTGAAAGCGTTCTCATTGCCTTCTTTTAATTTCACAGGAACAAGGAAAATACGGAAAAGAAAAATAACCACAGAAGATTTTAGAAATGTATTATTACAAGGTCATAGAAAGTGTCAGTGTGTGTACGTGAGAGATAAAGGCAGAAAATGTAAATTTAATGGTAAACGGTGTCGAAAGAATAAAATGAAACGCAGAATTGTAGGTATATATGTTGTAAAGACTAGAAAAAAACGTAGAACCAGAAATATTTTCTGGTATTTTGAGAATGAACGACGTCATATTAAAAGAAAATGTAAAAAATTATTTAATCCTCGAGCTTAATGTTAACTACAAGTATTTATGACCACGAACATCTTTAGAACTTTGTTCATTTGCTTAGTTTGCTTTGGGTAACGAGCATTGTTTCATGATATATCAAGTAATTGTAATAAGCTAATTAATATGTATGTACCGGTATGATATTTCAACCTAGGAAATAATAATGTACTGGTATGATATATTAACTTATGTGTAATAACCAAAGTAATAATATTGTACCGATATGATATATCAATGAATTTGTAATAACCTAGGTAATAATAATGTACTGGTATGATATATCAACTTATGTGTAATAACCAAAGTAATAATTTTGTACCGGTATGATATATCAATGAATTTGTAATAACCTAGGTAGGAATAATGTACCGGTATGATACATCAATAAATGTGTAATAACCTAGGTAATAATAATGTACTGGTATGATTTATCAGTGAAATAACCTGTAACCTGTGTAATAATCTAAGAAATTAATTATATCCCGGTATGGTATATCAACTTATATGTAATTACCTATGTCATAATAATGTGCCGGTTTTAGAATGTCTGTAGAATCAAATGTCTCATTTGGTTATCTACTTTTTTTAAACGACTTGTTTTTAAATGGACAATTCTTTACTTTGCCTGAAGAAGTTTATTGTCAAGTAATGTATTATTTGAACTTTACAATGTATTTTAATAGTACCATTCCTGTTTGTGTGTGTGTGTGTGTGTGTGTGTGTGGATTGATAATTGTAAAACATAACAAATATAACACTTTTTCTTGCAAAAAATATATTGTTCCACGTGCGTATGAATGAGCCATAAAAGCAGAACAACATTTAAAGATGACATCAAATTCAATCTTTAAAAATATGACTAAATGGATATATACCATTTTGAAGAGACACAGAGACTTATTAAAAGGAAGTACTAAAATTGTCCGCAATTTAAGACATGCATTTTTTGAATAGGAAAACAAATAATAAAATCATGGGTTTAAACTACTAATACCTCATTTCAATCTCTAGAGATCAACTTCATTGTCATCAGAAAAGAAGGTTGATTAGAGGCCAAATCCGATGCCCTTTACAAAAATTAAGTAGTTAAGCGTTTATAATTGATCACTGGGATTTAGATCACCTGAGTCATTGAGTACATTCTTCTTTTTCTTTACTCTCTGACATCTAGCACGCAAATTGTGGACATAATTTAAATACATACAATGAGAATGCTACGCAAGAGCAATGCGCATGCTCTACGTATGAACCATTTCTAAAACGAGGTAAGTTATTGACAAACAAGTTGACGAAACAAGAATATCAACAGTCTCGTTTAAGGTCGTCACTTCGTAAGTTCTATGGTCGATACAATGACCTTGTCAGCAAATACAATTTATCATTAAGTCAAATGCTGACTGACTTTTTTCATACTAATTGTTAGGCCATTATTGTCGACGGATTTTTCCGTTATTTCCCGATCATGACAAGGAGCACACGGCGGGAGTGACCGGTCGGCAGGGGATGCTCATGACTCCATGGCATCTGATCCCACCTCTGATGTTTTAGAGGCCCGTGTTTGCTCTGCTCCAAAATTTGTATTGTTTAATTGACTTTTGAGCTTAATTACTGTTCGTTATCTCCATATACACGTATAATTCATATCAAAATTTCAAACTTCATGAATTCTTAGTTCAGGATTCAGCCTCAAGGGTGGAGATAATTTGGTCTTATATTGAAAATGTATCAAATCTTGTAAGATCTCCTTTACTCATGGACATCTACCAGGCAAACTGTTTGCATATGTATAATGAGCTCTCAAACTTTTACCAAAATTGTGAAATTTGGCCAATCGGTCCTTGGTTGAGACGTAAGGGTGGGACTTAATTTTCCTAGGGAAACTATTTCAATGATTATAATAAACACTTAACCCTCTACCAAAAATTTGAAATCCATGGCCCGTATGCCTCAGGCCTCAGGGTTTTGCTAAATTATTTATATATTTAAAGAACATATGACTACATCTTTGAAAATCCTTTTATCTTTTTATTAATTCTTTGACATCTAGCAGATAAAGTGTTTACATGGTGATAATCAGCGCCTAGCCTTCTACTAAGATTTTAAAATCCATGTCCACCTGGTCCAGAGATCTGACCCCAGGGTAGAGCTAAGTTGGTCATATGTTGAAATCATTATGCAGTGTACTTTATCTTATTCACTCTTGAACTTGTAGAAGACAAATTACAAGAATATAATGATATGATAATTGCTCGCCTGTTTCTGGCGTTATGTAAAGGTTAAAAATACATGTTTTCACCATTCATCATTTTTTCACAGTGTTTTCCTTGTTTTTATTGTATAATATACAGTATATTCAAATGAACTCTGTCATTAGAAGAGACTGGTAGCGAGACATGACAGAACAAGATGTGTTTGTGAAACACTGCTGTCCTCGTACGACAGCTTATGACAAAGGTTAAAGTTTCTCAAATGTAAGTCAAACTCCAAGGTGAAGGTCAAGAGATCAAAAAAATGTTACTCAAAGAAAGGACTGGTGTCAATGGATATACCTGGTAAATATGAGAGCCCAAGCACCAACCATTCATAATCTTAATGTTTTCTAAGAGTGTGTCAAATTCCAAGGTGAAAGTCAAAGGTTCAAAATTAATAGTAGGCAGGGAAAGACCTTGTCATAAGAAATACACATGCAAAATATAAAAACCCTAGCACCAAAACAATAACAAAATTTATGGCGAAGTTTTTCAAAAGTAGGTCAAACTCAATGGTGAAGGTCAAAATTGTTAGTATCCAAAGGAAGGTCTTGTCACAAAAAATATACCCGTGAAATTTGAGAGCCCTAGTATTGCTTGGGTTTAAGTTTTTTAAAGGTGGGTCAAACTCTAAGGTCAAGGTTAAAAGGTAAAAAAAATATTTATCTATGGAAAGGTCTTGTCAAGGTGAATACACATGTGAAGTATGAAATCCCTGGCATCAACTGTTCAAAAGTTATGACCAAGATTAAAGTTAGGAATTTTTTTGCAAAAGTGGGTCAAACTCCAAGGTCAAGGTCAAGAGGTCAAATATGTTGGTACCATAAAGAAGGTCTTGTCACAAGGAATAAACATGTGAAATATGAAAGCCATAAATCCGACCGATCAAAAATTATGGGCAAGGGTAAAGTTTTTCCGAACAAATTGTCAAACACTGTCACGGTAGTCAAGGTGGTTGAGCCCTCGCTCCGTGATCGGAAGGTCGTGAGTTCGTATCTCGGCCGCGACTAACATAAGTCGATAAAATAAGTAGCAACTGTTTCTTCGCCAAGCTCTCGGCACTTTGAAGCGAAAGTTGCGGGTCCTTCGGATGAGACCTAAAAAAAACGAGGCCCATGTCACGGTAGGCTTTGGCACGATAAAGATCCCTAACTGCTCAATGGCCTGAGTGCCGAGTAAAGGTTTAAATTTGAAGCCCTTCACCAGTATATGGTGACGTCTCTATATGAATGAAAAATTCTCGAATGGGACATAAAACAAGATACATACATACAAACAGACGGACAGGGCAAAACTATATACTCCTGAATCTTCGGTTGCGGGGGCATAAGCAAGGAATTTTTAACAGCTCATCCTTGAACGAAAGTAAGCACCTTTACAGTGAATTCATACAGTTTTGAGATATTTATAATGTAGTTACTTGAGGTGCCAAAGAATTCATAACTGAGCATTAAGCTATAAAACTACTTCGAAATTTGTGAACTATTTATTTCAAATTAGTATATGAGAAAGATCACATTCTGGACTTGCTTTGCTCAATGACCGTCGAAATTTAAATTAAGGTAAAAATTTCTTATATATTTTTACATAAAATGCAAAGGTTGAGTAGAAGGGGTAATTCAAAACAAACGTTTAGTAATATGCAGATCTTGTAAAGCAATGCTTTATATGCATTTAAGTTACAAAACACCTGGGAATGCGAGTTTGTTTCAGTCGAATCGAACAGGTTATTAAAAGTCAAGTGCAGGACCTAATCACTCCCTTCTCCCTTAAAAACAACGCAACAAAATTCAGTCCACGAATCTGTTAAAACCGGAAAGTTTACACATGTTTTTTTCGTCTCAAAAATATTTATAGTAATTATCATATTCAAGCAGCTTGTGTCCTAGAAGCTCAGGCGTAAAGAACATAAGGAACACGTTGAGGTATTAAC